CCCCAAAACCCCAAAACCCCAAAACCCCAACTATCGGATAAGATATTGAAACTAACTAACTTTCTAAATTTAATATCTAAAGAGAAAGTTGCTTAAGATAAAACGTATATATTACCACAGTTTGTCAGGAAGCTTGCAGTCAAAGCATTTGCTCATATACAAGTCATGGCTAGCAGCCAATTATTTATGGGTAAATTAGAAGCTTTGATTAACACAACATTTATGAACCTCTATCTGGGGTTTTAGGATGAATAAAATATGGAAATCTCTGACCTGAAACCTTTCCTGACATATAGATGCTATCCAGCTGTAATTTTTTAAAGCAGTCTTTGGCATAGTATTCGTCAATACCTAATAAGAAAATTTAGATTCAAATTACCTGAGAAATGAGCAGTGATATGTCTTAAGCTGAGTATCAGGCAAGAGTTCTTTAACCCTTCTAGAATCGACCACTAGATGGATTAACTTTATACGGTACAAATTGGCATGGATCTGTTTTAGAAGGAAGTCAGCAAAAGTTAAAGGTGAGTTTGCTTAGACCTCATTTCTGTATTTTATTTTCTGAAATTGGATTGCTGTTTTCTTCTACTTTTTCTTTTGAAAATTGAGATAAAGTGTTTTGGTGAGCTTTTAGTTTTATTTTTCCTACTCCAAATTGACAGCCTGAGAAGTTAATAATCTTAATATGTCTTCCAAATGTAACAATAATAGGAAACATGCTACTTGAGATGTACAAATTAGATATAAAGGCGGTTTTCAGAGTGCTTGACAAGCAATTGAACAATATTTTTCTTGGAAGTTGTATTTTTTGATTTTCCAAATTTCCGATATAATTAATATTTATGATATTTCCTATACTTTAAATGAACCGATACATCTAGCAATTCTGGAATCTAATATTTTGTAGCTATCTCCTTGATCTCATATATTAATCTCCTATTAGATTTGTTAAGTAATTATTTTAGTTGGGATGCTCGAAATCAATAATGCAGTGTCCTCGCATAAAATATACGGAATATCTTGTTCATAAAAATGGATTAAGCTCAATGGACTTACAGTGTTTTCTCTATAGATAAGCACAAATCTTACACTAGAGGTCAATTTAGGATTGAAGACTTAACCTTTATCAGTGATCTCAAGAAGTAAAGCACGTTGCATGCGTCTAAAATAGGCATATTACTTGCAATTAAACTGAAGTTGAATGAAATCGAAAAATTGAATTGAAATTATTTCAAATTGGCAGATATTATTGTTTTTTCACAAAGATATTAGGGAAACACTCTTAATATTTTGGAAATTAGGAATAGATATGTTTATGACAAAAAAGGAACTTTCAACGAGGTTTGGATAAACGAAATTGCAGAAAAATAATCTATAACTTAAAAATGTCTCAAAGTAGCATTTCCTTTGACAAAAAACAGACAAACCTCCAGACTGAGTGTGAATCGTTAATTTCTCTTGGTTGTTATGCTCATTAAATTTTGATATCTGAGCTTGACAAATACTCTTTTCATGGTAGTAGGTATCTTTTTCGAAGTTTAGAGGTAATTCTTCCATTATAAATAATAAAATTTAATCTAAAGACCTAGGAGTTTGAAATCATATTAGAAAACAAGAATTTATACGAGAAAAGAGAAGTTTGTCAATAAAGCTTCTTGTTTCCATAAAAATGCCAATGTTAACAGCCAAAAATATTTCGTCTTTAGCTATTTATTTAAATTTTAATTAAATAAATTATATGGCGGGGTTTTGGGGTTTTGGGGTTTTGGGGTTTTGGGG